CGGGGCCGACAGCCCTCCCCGGGGGCGGCGCCCACCCCAGCCAGAGGCCGCTGAGCCCCAGACTGACAGAGACACCAGGAGCCAGGTCTCGGGTGACTCCCAGCAAGTGCTGCTACGGAAAAGATGCCAGTCCGCAGGGGCCACGTCGCTCCCCAAAACACTTACCTGGACACCATCATCCGCAAGTTCGAGGGCCAGAGTAAGTGTGAGGTTTGGGGGTGTGGGGGACTATCTGCGTGCTGGTTGGATGGCAGGAGGAGCCACTTTACTAACTTCTGATGGGGTAAAAGGAAAAGGAGGTGAAGGGTAGGGTTAGATTCTGAATACAAAAATTTTTCTTTTTATGTCCCCAATACCTCGTATGTTCTCTGTCTGGGGCAGAATGCAGCTCTTATACCTCCCACGGCAGTTTTGGTGGTGTCCCAAACCTCTCAGTCACTGGCCCACTCACCCCTCCAGACCATTCATGCCTTCCCTAGAGGTTTGCTTGACTTCCTGCTTTTCACCCAATGAGCAGGTCTGACTTCCAGATGGTCATAGTCCTGCTTCCTGGTCCAGACCCCCTCCACTGTTGCAGGAGTTCTGGGGCCTTCTTCCCACCCTTCTGACCCTAGCTGTGCTGGTCTTTCCACAGCCCTCAGGCCTGACTTGTGTACCCCTACCTTTCTGTTCCATGCCACCTTCATGCCCCTCTGTACCCCCTCTGTACTTCTCTTGGTCCTCACACCTTCCCCTCCTCTGACCTCCACCTCCCTCATTCTGGTCCCTGCCTGCTCCTGCATATAAATCCCCTTCTCAGCCGCCATTGGACCCTATAATTTCTCTCCTGGCTACCCATCTCTGGCTGCCAGGGTCTTCCTACCTTCTACCTCCCACTCCAGGTCGTAAGTTCCTGATTGCCAACGCACAGATGGAAAACTGTGCCATCATTTACTGCAATGATGGCTTCTGTGAACTCTTTGGCTACTCCCGTGTAGAGGTGATGCAGCGACCCTGTACCTGTGACTTCCTCACAGGCCCTAACACACCAAGCAGTGCTGTGTCCCGCTTGGCACAGGCCCTGCTTGGGGCTGAAGAGTGCAAGGTGGACATCCTCTATTACCGAAAGGACGGTGAGCCATGGTTGGGCCAAGGGGTTCTGCAGGCCATCTTTCTCATTCATCACAGAGTGGCCTGGGGGGAAGGGTTTGGCCTAAGAGCCAAAGACATTTTCTATCCCTACTCTGGGCCTTGGTTTTATTAGTAGAGGGAGGCAATGAGCACAGGGTGCCTGTCTTCTAAGGGACTTGAGATTGGGCCGAACCAATTCCTGGCACTGGTCTAAGACAGAGGTTCTTATTCCACTTTTCCTCCTCCTCCGTTTCCTGGCTACCCACTCCATCACTGTCAGCCCCAGCTGTCAAGCAGCTGGGACGGAAATTAAACTTCCCTCATCTCTGTCTGCTCTGGGGATTAAGGAAGGAGCCAGCCCAGCCCACCAAGGTCTCTATGGCCAGATAATGCATGGAGGCTGCTGGCTGGAACAGAAGAGTGGGCCTGGTTCACTCAAGTCTGGCTCTTTGGGAAGATAGAGTCTCGGGCCTGCCTTAACCAGGTGATTTACCCAGATGGACTGGGTGTTGTCCCTGTTGCCCAAGCCCTCAGAAAACATGACAGAAACACAAACCAGGAGCTGAGAACCAAGATATCAGCAGCCCTTGAGTCTCCCTCCAGGGGACGGGGTCCTGAGTGCATGACAATAGTGGAACTACAATCAGAAACTGAAAGTCTCTTGGAAATCACCAGGAAATCCCCACCCCAATCTGGTTCTGCATTAGAACTACCTGGGGCATGTTTTGCAAAACATACCTTCCCTAGAGAGAAGCTGACTCAGAAAGTGCAAGGTAAAGCCAGGCAGGTGTATCTGGAAAAAAATCTCCAGTGGTTCTTATTTGCTGCCAATTTTAAGAACCACTGGTTTAGATAACTCCCTTCATTTCATGGGTGTGGAAGGCCCTTTCCCAAGATCCCATTGTCAGGGGCCAACTGAAACCCTCCCTTGGAGATGTTTGTCCTGAGTAATCCTA